CAAGGGGTTCAGCTGTACACAAGGATAATATAAAACACAGATAACACTTTCCTTTGGTTCATGAGGTTGACTGAAGATGGTCATAAGTACACTGATGATACAGAAACAAAAGACCACAACTACCAAGGTGTTGGTAGCTGGTGTGGTTGAAGCATGTGCAACTGTCTCAGTGGATTTGATGTGGTGGATTCTGAAAATGATTACATTGCAAGAGTTAAGGATTAAGTGGGTTTGGAAAATGATGTTAAACATATCAGCATATAGAAACAAAAATTCATTGGCATAAATACTCAAGAAAGGGAGCTTTAGGGAGGAAATTAAAGCACAGAAATAGTAGTTAATTACATTAAATTTGTATGAATGAGTCCTAATCATGCAACTGGTATGAGCTGATGCACAGCTGACTAAACGTATAGCATATATCCCCAAATCAGCAAAAGCAGGACTGACGGGACATGTCGGCATCATGAAACAGGAGACTGCAGTTAGCACATGGAAGTCATGGTTCTGCGCTTTTTGATAGGTATGGATTGAAGTATTTTGTTATTTTCATTGATAATAGAATAAATAAAATGAGAATACCATGGGAGTTATCCAGAACATAAAGTAAGAAATACTGGGGAGACTTAATTTATCCAGAAGGGGTTGCCAATAGGCTTTAGATATGGCCACAATCAGGTGAACCAAGCATCACTTTGTGTAAAATCGTGGTCTTAGATCCAAAGTCTATAGGTGCAATTATCTCCTGTATTCACATTCATGAATATACACTCAAATAAGTTCCATTTTCTTTTCTTTTGTAGAAGGTGAATCATAGTGAGACTTGCTGTGGAGCAATACTGCAAATATTAAATAAAGAAAACCATTTGAAGTTCTGGGTATAAGTTTTAAAAACTAATTTCAGTGATGTGTATCATGACCACCATTACCACCATCTACCACCACCATCACCATCACTATCATTAATAGTATTATTGTTAAAAATAGAGCTAGGCCTCTTTAACCTTCAAGATTTTTAAATTTTATTTTATACATTTTTATACATAGTAACTTTGACATTTATGCTCAAAGAAAATATACCTAAGGAGAATTTTGGGGAAAAAATATTGTATAAGACAGCATCATTTATTTTCTAAAATCTCACAAAATAAGTCTATCAAATTCTGTATACAGACAAAAGGAAAACTTCCTTCTTATATGATGATATGATATTAGGTCCATTCATGACATATGTATCTACTCAGAATATTCTTCAGGGCATATTTGACATCCTTATTCCTCAGGCTATAGATCAATGGATTAAGCATGGGCACTACAGTAGTATAAAAGACAGAAGAAACTTTCCCTTGGTCCATTGAGCTGACTGATGATGGCTGTAAGTACATGAATGCAGCTGAACCAAAGAAGATTGCCACAGCAGATATGTGGGAGCTGCAGGTGCTGAAGGCTTTGGATCTACCCTCAGTGGAGCGAATGCGCATGATGCTGGCAATGATAAAGATGTAGGAAGCAAGGATGGTCAGGGCAGGTGTTAAGATGTTTAATGCACTTAAGAAAAGAACCAGTAATTCATTGATGTAGGTACTAGAGCAGGACAGCTCCAAGAGTGGAAAGAGATCACAAAAGTAGTGGTTAATCACATTAGAATTGCAAAAAAACAGTTTTAACATGAAGCCCGTGTGAACTGATGACCCAATGATACCCAAAGTGTAAACTCCCACTATAAGGCAGAAGCAGAGGTGGTGAGACATGATGACATTGTAAAGTAACGGGTTACAGATGGCAACATAGCGGTCATAGGCCATTGCAGCCAACATGTGACACTCTGCAATAGCAAAAACTAGGAAGGAGTAGAGCTGGGTCATGCATTCAGGGTAGGAGATGATGTTCTTGTCTGTCACAAAGTTCACCAGCATTTTGGGGGTAATGACTGTGGAGTGGCAGAGGTCAATGAAAGACAGGCTGCTGAGGAAGAAGTACATGGGGGTGTGCAGGTGGGAGCTGAGCAGGATCAGCATGATCATGCCCAGATTCCCCAGTACTGTGAGCATGTAGATCCCAAGGAAGAGCAGGAAGAGGAGCAGCTGAAGCTTTGGTTTCTCTGTTAACCCAGCAAGAATGAAGTTGATTACCATGGAATGGTTTGCAGACTCCATTATCCTGTCACTATCTTGCCACAAGTTCTAGATTTAGGATAGAGAAAATGAGTACACTTTTCTGCATCTGTAGTATGTGTATGTATATGTGAGAGAGAGAGAGGAGAGAAAAATAGATGATAGACAGATAGATAGATATGAGATTATTTTCCTACATCAAAGTAGATATATAACATAAGAGTTTCCTGAGCTTCTCCTGTTTAATGGGGACAACCAATGACTGCATGATCAGTGGAAGAATAACAAATACCTAGGACATTGAAATTAATACGGTCAAATTATTTAGGATGAGTGTAAGTTCTGGACTTTTTACTTCAGTAAAACATATGGCTGCTAGTGTTATTTTAAGGGCTCTTTCTTTCCTCATATTTTTAAGATATAGTAAAGTCACTGGCTTGGTGGCACATACCTTTAATTCCAGCACACTCAGCACTCAGGAGGCATTGGCATGTGGGTTTCTATGAGATCAAGACTGTCTTGGTCTACATAGTGAGTTCCAGGCCAGCTGGAGCTACAAGGAGACCCTGTCTAAAAACAAACAAAGCAGATATTAGATCTATGCCTATTATATATAATATATACCTAATTATATTATATATATATACCTAATATGTATGTGTATATCTATATATTACAGAAACTGAAATTTCTTTTGGCTCAAGAATAACAAATGTTCTCATTTATTTCTACTGAAGCAGGATTCACTATGCCATTTTCCTTATAATTCCAAATAAAACTAGCTGACAAAATGGGCAACTTGATACAGTTTCTTTATTCTGAAACTGCTGCTCTGCGTCCCTGCTTTCTCCATGTAATCCTTGCCACCCAGCAAAGCAGGAACATAGCTGCTCGACAGATAACATATTTCAACAACATTCCAAAAGTGACAGACTGTGTTTTATTGGTCTAATTATTTAACTGAACAAATCCTAAGGGAAAATATGGTGGTGTGTGTTTGGACTTGGGCTCCACTATCCTGGCAGAGAAGCAGTGGACCATGACTGATCCCTGCTAATTGGACTTTATGGTTGGATTTGTGGAGCTCAGAGTACTACTCATGTGAGAAGGATTTCATCAGTGGTCAGACTCTGTGATCACGGAGTTCATATGTGCTCTCTAAAGAAATTATTGGTGGTGGCTATATGAATGAACAGAGCACATATAAAACAAAATTCAAAATTTTAGTCTCAATTTAATGCTGTTCAATGGTGTGATATAATTTTTCAAAAAGAGTAATACAAATTTACATTATATTTGCAAAGAAAAAAAAATAGAAGAACTTCAGTCTAAATGTTCAAGCCACTTTTGCATTATTAGTTTTAGGTTGGAGTGAGAGATTTTGTACATGATATGGAAACTGGGTAATTTCAGAAAAAAATTACACCTCTTTTCGTTTGAAGAATGTCTGAATAACAGAGAATAATTCATTCGCATAGTAAAAATACACATTTCATGTGGTATTTATACCCAAATTTTCAACTTACTGATATATTCACGAAGTGTTGGTATTGGTCTATTTCATAAATACTACTTATGTTTCCATCAGTGTGAAGCAAAATTAAGTGCCTGAACCCATGGACAGAGGCAGGTGTGTCTGAACCAAAATGACATTCCAGTAGCCAGAGGTGCTTTGCTCTCCTTAAAGCCAGGGCTGTCAGTATGTATGCTGTGCAGTCATTTTGGAGATGTTGTTCAAGAACACAGCACTGGGCATATTAAATTATCTTAAATTTCTCTTCCAATTCTGGTATTCTGTGATTTTGTGATGCTAAATGGCCCTGACATTAAATTAGACAGTATAGATTCAAATATTTTCTCAGAATTGTATTTGCTGTGTGACCACAAGAAAAGTCATTCCACTCTCCAAAGCCTTCCAGAAAGCAAACATTTAGTCCCTGAAATATGAAATTTAAATTAAACAACACACAGTTCCTGGATCTTACTATGAACTTAATAATCGTCAATGATATTTACATTGCAGTGTTTTGAGTTTCTCTCTGCAATGTCTTTCATGAGTTTTTCAGCAACTTTTCTATTGCACCATCTTATAAATACAGCATAGTGTTTGGCACATTGCCTTGCAAGTGTCAATACATTTGTTCACAGAAGCTTAGTGATCAGTTAAAACAAATCTAGAAAAACAGGGCAATACCTTGAGGCTGATTGAGTTAAACTGGCATGTATTTCCCTCAGGTTTATACTGCTGAGGGGATGGGGCTAATAGACAGACTGATCATTAGGGATTGTGAATCCTAGAATCAGCATTGATATGGATGGATAAAGAGCCATGCATATCTGTGTGGACTAGGAGAGATTAAAAAGGATTGGAATTCAGACATACCCCTTCTTCACAAAGAGGTCAACACTGAGTATTTCTCTCCTCCACTCCTCTGGATGGTAAAATGGCTTTGAGGATGTGAGGCTGGGACAATTCCAACGTGCCTTTGAAAAGTCCCAGATGTTTCTCTCTGATGAAACTGATACCCCAGTCATTTGTCCCTCTGCATAGGCTGGATGATAAGAAAAATTTATATGTTGAGTGGAGATAATCAAAGTCTAATTGGGAATAAAAAATAATGACCTCCCACAAGAATTCTATCCCATAGGTAAAATATGGGGAAATAATCAACAATTAGAAATTTGTTTTTCCCACTGGTTTAGGGGTGATTCATTTTCCTTGTTAGACTCAAAATTAAAAAACAAGTGCACAAATCTCTTGCATTGCTATAACTCTAGATAGTTTCAAGTCAAGGAATTTAAAATTTCAGAATTTCAGGAAATATTTTTTGATTTAAAAAAAATATCTGGGCATAGTGGCACATGCCTGTAGTCCCAGCACTTGGGAGGCAGAGGCAGGTGGATCTCTGTGAGTTCAAGGTCAGCCTGGTCTACATAGTGAGTTTCAGGACAGTTGGAGCCACAGGAGACCCTGCTTCAAAAAGACCAAAAAAGAAATATATCATTGTGTCATTCATTTTCTTGTTTCTTTGTTTTGGGGTTCTTTGCATATTCTGGACACTAAATACATCTGTTAAAGCTTTTCTCCTTCTCAGCTGGGTTTCCTCTTCACTTTCTTGTTTGTTCCTTTTGCTGTAGAGACGCTTTGTAGCTTAATGAAGTCCCACTTGTTGATTGTGGATCTTAATGCCTGAGCAACTGATGTCCAATTTAGAAAGTCATTTCCTATGCCTATATCTTGCAGGGTACTGTTTTCTTCTAGAAGTTCCAGAGATTCAGGTTTTATATTGAGGTCTTTGATCCATTTGGAGTTGACCTTTGGTCAGGGTGAAGGATGGGCTATAGACCTGAACAGAGAGTTTGCAAATGAAGAAATAAAAATAGCTAAGAAATACTTTTAAAAGTGCTCAACATTCTTAGTAGTTAGAGAAATGCTTATTATAAAACACTTTAAGATTCCATTTTATCCCAGTGAGACTGACTAAGATCAAGAGAATAAATACACTAAATGCTGGCAAAGGATGTGGAGAACGGCAGATGCTCATTCACTGCTGTTGGGAATGAAAACTCCTGCAACCACTATGAAAGCAGTGTGGAGAACTCTCAAAAAACTAAAAATGAATCTACTAAAAATCCAGTTATACCACTCTTTGGCATATATCCAAAAACTCATCATACCATAGAGATGCCTATACATTCTTGTTTGTTGCTGTCTTTTTATAATAGCTAAGAAATGGAAACAACTTCAATCTCCCTCAACTGACAAATGGATAATGAAAATGTGGTACATTTACACAATGGAGATCTACTCAGCTATAAGTAAAGATGAAATTATGAAATTTGCAGGTAAATGGATGGAACTAGAAGCTGGTATACTAAGTAACCCAGACTCAGAAAAGCAAGTGACATATGTTCTTCCTCACTTGCAGATCATAGCACTAATTCCTTATATGTGAATATATATTCTCATGTAACACCAGGAACCAGAAAAAATGGAAAGGAAACATGAAGGTAAAGGGAAATAAAGAGCCCAAAAGAGGGGGGTAGTGGGAAACAGATGTTACCACTGAGGGGGAGATGGGGCAAGTGGGAGTGTACGGCTGGCAGGGAAGGAGGAAGGGACAAGCAAGGGTCCATGGTGGTGGGGGAAGAGGGACTCAGGAGACGGGGGTGTTATTGGAAGGAGGGTGGGGATAATGAGGCACTTGAACTGGGAGGGAGGAAGGAGGCTGGATGTGGGGAGAAAGTGTAGACATGACTGAAACTTGGGGGCTAGGGAAGCCAAAGGGAAAAGTGTTGACTCAGGAACCCCCTGAGAAATGCACATATGGTGTCTGGCGCATGTGTATGCCTGGGGCCTGTAAGGTAAAGAGCACAGGGACAGACAAGCAAAACCTCCTTTCAAGTGGTTGGCTGGAGTAGTCCAAGACACTCCCAAAGTAACACAGGCTATTGCCAGAACTGTTGGTTATCTCCCAGAAGTCAAAGTAAGACCCTACTGCTGAAGACAGGGCATACTTCAGATGTAGGACTTGGAGAATGGAAGAAGAACTGACCTGGAAGCCTACCTGAAGTTTAGCTCTCATAGTTCTAGGGATTACTACACAAGCTGCTAAGGGAGAAAAATCAATCAATGCTCCAACTCAGCCCTAAAGCCTAATAACCATAATGACTGTCACAGCAAACTACCTCAATTGATGCAGCAGTGGCATAGTTATCTGAGGGGTAACCAACAGGTATCTAATTAGCCTTAAAGCCCTCTCAGTGGGACTGAACACATGGGTGACACTGTAAATACAGTGAAATACACATGGTTGGAGTGGTCATAGATCCTAGAGAAACCCATTCTCTGTCATATTTCTAGACAAATGAAAATTTTAACACATGGTAAGTATGGATCCTTGTATTTGCAGACAAGCATACCATACACCACTCATAAAAGAAGCTTCTTTTTGCAACAGATGGAGGCTATTGCAGAGTTCCACAAGTAGTCACACACAGAAAATGTACACCTGTCTAAGGTATTCCCAGTCCCAGGTGAC